TGGTGCAATGCTGCTATCTGGACACGGTGTGACTATTTGACTTGAAATATGATGGTGTGATCTGGGGTTGTCATCTCGCTGCTGCTTATTTTCCTAGCAAAGGTCACCGGCTCAATTTTTTATTATTATTATTATTATTTTACCGGTTGAATTTCGTGCAGATGAACAACAACCAAAAAAAAAAAAAAAAAAGAATCTAGGCAACTCACCCGTTGGCCAGCTGAAGCGTCCACCGGTATGGAGCCCTTGTGACCATCGTACTCGATGGAATCTCTTCTTTTTTCCCCCTTGAGGCAAATGTGCCTTGTGCATCACCAACGGGAAAGCCGTGTTTTTTTTTTCATTTTTCAAAAAACGTTATGCCTGGTACATCATCGCCCTCATATCAACGTGAGGTTTTGGTGCACACGGGAGGTTTTGGGGCACCTCCGACGGCGCTGGTTTGCGCCCGCGGATTTGAGCCGCCAGCTAGTCACAGCCAGTGTTGTGCCAGCCAGCCCGTCGAGTGGTACCATGCCGCCATGACACTAAGTTACCGCAGTGAACACGGATTGCTAGGTTTTCACCATAGCTGCGTGAACTATACACCCATGCCTCGTTCACCGGACGGCCATAGTCACGCCTCTAAAGTGTCATCCTAACTATGAGGAGACTGTACAGGACGGAATTACCTCCATATCCGAATTACGCATCGAGTCATGGATCCATCAGCATAAAGCGCAATCACCTGCATACAGGAAAGTAAGTTGGATGAGAGGAAACTGCAGACCTTGGGCAACTGGTGGGATGGACCACAAGTCTGGTCCCCGGCTGTAGGAACCCGAGGGGGAGTGGGCATTCTCATACACCGCGACCTCCCAGCAACAATCCTAGATCACTGGATCGATCTATGGGGTCGTTGGGCGTGGATGAAATTGTCACTTAATGGGGAGAATTCGGCGATCATGACAGTCTACGCCCCGGTTGATCAATCAGAACGCAGGATGTTCGTTGAGGACCTAATCTCTCTAACCCCGGATGTAGACAACCTGCTAATGGCAGGGGACTGGAACATCTCGCTAGACGACATCCATCCCTCATCCACAGCGCCCCCGGACGTCCTAGCACTCACCGAATACATGTTGGATCTTGACTTGTGCGATGCGTTCAGAATCATGCACCCCACCTCCCATGGTTTCACCTGGTGCTCCTCAGCAGCAGAAGGGAGATCTGCAGGTACGTTTAGAAGGCTTCATTACTTCCTGACAAGCTCACAGTGGTGGAATGCAGCCCCCAACATCAAAGCAGTCAAGAACCCGATCTCATATCACATCCCAGTTAAAAGCCACGTTTCGCATGATGGAAGTCAACGACAGAGGGAAGGGCTTCTTCCGATTAAATACCCAACACCTCAAGGATCCAGGTCTGTCTAGATGGATAGATTTTTTTTTTGAGAAGTGGCCCGAAGCCCAAAAGCTCTTCGACGCAAGAGGGGATTGGTGGGATGTAGGTACGTCAATTGCATCTAACTTTCTGAGTATTTTCTTTAGAATCCTTGCTGCAGAGGATAAAACGGAAGAAGGTAGAATCCTCAGGGATCTGGATTGGGTAGAAGACAGGATGCAGTTACACCTGATCTCAGCGTCCGTATGGGCTGCGGAGCGGGCTCGGTTCGTTCATGAATGGAATGACCTGCAGCAGAAGCGCTCAGACGAATGGTCAGAAAGGTTGAAAGTAAAAGTGATTGTTGTATACGACCGAATGACTAAGGTGTCATTCCAGCGCCTTCTCCCCAGAAGAGCTGCGCAGTCCATGGAACAATTCCACCATCCGTTCGTACCGGAAGCTAGGGAACCCTCCACATCGGAGGCTATGGGCCGATATGCAGTCCTGCACTTCAAGTATATCTTAAGAACACGGAGGCCGGGAGAGAACCCCAATATTGACCTGTCTGACGGCTCAGATCATTGGACTAATACAGCGGTAAAACTTGACCACGCAGGTCGTCTGGACCTCGACAGGCCGGTTACACAAGAGGAAGTTGAGACACTAAAGCACATGGCCAAGGGCAAAGCCCCTGGCAGAGACGGTATTCCAGTAGAAGTGTTCCAACAACATGGCCGGATTCTCATCCCTCATTTGGTCGTCATCTACAACAAAATCCTCACAGGCGGCCGCATCTCTGCGGGTATGGCACATGGCATAATCACAGTTTTGTATAAGAAAGGAGACAAGGCAGACATCAGGAATTAGCGGCCTATCTCCCTTCTTAATGCATCCTATAAAATTTTGGCAAAGGTGTTAGCCAGGAGGTTAGGAAAATTTCTTCCAGAATTGGTAGGTCGTGATCAGGCAGCTTTCATTCAAGGAAGATCAATCTTCAATAACATGGTAACTGCAATTGAAAGCCCTAGAACAGGTTCAACGTAATAATCTAGACATTGCTATCTTGTTGCTGGATCTGGAGAAGGCCTATGATAGAGTTAACTGGGCCTACGTTCTCACCACACTCCATGTGATGAACTTCGGGCCAAACTTTCACAGATGGGTTTTTGTACTTTACACCCTTTCTACAGCATCTGTCTCCATCAACGGCCATATCTCCTCACCTTTTGCACTGTCCCGATCTTTACGGCAAGGATGCCCGTTGGCACCCCTGCTGTTCGTCCTCCAATTGAAGGTGCTAGCGAATAACATCAGAACGCACCCACACATCAGAGGCATACCTACACAACACCGGGAGTGCCGAGTCAAGGCCCTAACAGACGATCTAATGGCCGTCTCAGAAAACACGGTTGAATCCCTCACTGCCTTGAAAGCCTGTCTGGGGGAATACGCCGAGCTGCCCGAAGCTGCTGTAAATTGGAACAAATCAGTGGTCTTCCTTCCGGATAGGTATGCACTCACAGTTGAGTGGGGTGTGAAACAAGTTACCAGCGGTAATGCAGAACGGTACTTAGGGGTCCAGATCGCACTCAGTAGATGTGCAGATGCTCAGAATGACCTTCTACAGCAGAAGGTTATCAGGCATATAGCAGTGTGGGGCCCAGCCCAGCACCTGTCACTGTTTGGGAGGGCGTTAGTCACAAACGTGGCCCTGTTTTCATTGCTGTGGTTTGTAGGCACCGTAAGGGTGCTAAGAAGACAGCTACTCAAAATTGCCCGAAGGGTAGCCGCTAAGTTCATCTGGAAACCCTTCGGGGAAGAGGAGGCAGGCGTTATTTCGAAAGTAGCATGGGAGTTAATCTGTTGCGACCGATCGGAGGGTGGCCTAGATATGCTGGACCCAGGCACGCAGAACGAAGCATTGTTAGCAAAATGGGTTACCAGGTCCATATGCAACGATTCTGAAGATCACTGGATTCTGCTGGGAGAACAGCTGCTTGCCGAAGATTGGAAACTGCCAAGAGTAGAGGATGTATGGACCTGCTGTATGATGGAGTCCTTCCTGAGACGGCGGATCAAGTCAGAATTTTGGAAAGGAGTCCTACGGGCCTGGAGGAGAGTGGGCCCCCGCACCTGGACAGCCCCGACAATGAAAGAGGAGGTGCTCTCTCAGCCTTTATTTGATAACCCTGCCATCCTGACTTCCATGGGGCGGCCCTTCTCAGCAGGCTGTGCGAAAGAGGCTTTCGGCCGCGCTTGGGCCGAAAGAGGGGTTCTCAGAGTGACAGATATCTGGAATGACTATACCGGCGAATGGCTCGCTCTACCAGAACTGATGGAGAAGCTCGGAAGGCTCGCACACATCGAGGTAAGGTTCACCAATCTGCCGAACGCCATCCCAAGAACCTGGCACGACGTCCTAAGCCCGCATGGGAACCCCCCGTCCGACACTTGGTTTGTGCAGGAATCGGATGAGAACCCACAGATCTTCTGGAAGCTGCTGAACACAGACACAGATGGAACCAGATCCTTCTCGGCCTGGGAAAGGCAAGCCCACTCTCATCAGCTGATGGTAAGGGACGAGGACCCCCGGAGCAGACCCATAAGACCACTGGGTAATTCGGTGCAGATCAGAGTTCGAGAAAACTGTGATGAAGATGGAAATTGGACGTGCTTCCTGTGGGCCAACGGCACTCCAGCCCGCAAACTGAAGTTGGATCCATGAATGTGGTCATGGAGAGGTTCCCAACTCATCTTCGAGGAAGCCTGGGTAACGGATTACACTTTGGCAGTGGGTTACGGTCTCACCACACCATGCCGCACCCCTCAGATGGCAGCTGTCAGTCGACGGTCCCAAGTCACCACCTTTGAGGAACCTGTGATCCTGCGATGTCTCCAGAGATGCTGGCGGCAGCTGAAATCGGCCCCATTACCGAGAGCTGCCGTGCTGCTATGGCTTCTCTATGAAGGCCACCCCGTCCGCGGTGTGGCTGGCGGAACGAGGCATGCAGATCTCTCTGCAATGCAGCAGATGCAAGGGGCCGTACGAATCAACCACGCACCTCTGGCTCACATGCCCCGTCTGCTCGTATATGGGACTGGTGGAGAGTACAGTGGGAACGCATCGGTGGTCCAGATTTCCCTTGGGATGAACAATGGATTCTACTTGGAGGAGTCCCGGAGGAACTTCCACTGCATAAGGGTTGCGGCTACACTACTCAGGCATTGAGAGCCTGCCTGTCATTGGTGGTATGGGAAGTGAGGAACAAATTTGTTTTTGCAGGGAGGTTTCTTGCAGACTCGGTCATTAAAGCATCAGTGAAGACACAGATCAGATTGGTGATACTGAGCGACTCGGTCATTAAAGCATCAGTGAAGACACAGATCAGTTGGTTTGAAGAGACCTGGGCCATGAATGGAATGGAAGACTGGCCAAGGTAGTGGGAAGTAAAGTGGTGTTGGATAACTGGCCCATCGACGCCAATTGATGTACCTGAGCGCTCGGTTTTGTTCCACAGTAGAAAGGCAGCAGTTTGAGGCAAGTGGGGTTGTAAGGAGCGCTATCTGGTTATGGGAACTCGTTTAAGTTCCAACCTTCTGAAGTAGGAAGGTTAACAGTATGGTTGCCTGCCGATTTTTTTTTATTTTTTATTTTTATTTTTTTGCCTGCCGAATTTGACATGGGGGTAGGCAGGCTGAACTACTCGGCAGGTTCAGTGAGGTTTAGCAGTAAGAATTCAGAAGGACCCGGTTCGTTTTCTGCAAGCATGATACCGTTTTTTGTTCTTTTTTTTGTTTTTCGAATAAATCCTATTTATTATTTAATGAAAAAATTGATTTTTTTAATTTTTGTGTGGGGGAGGGGGAATTACAATTTCGTTAACCCTTTTTGTACTTTTCTGTTAGAAGGAAAAAAAGAAAATTGCATATGTCACGTTTTTTTTTTTTTTTTTTACATTAATCGTCCATCCATTGCATGAAATAATCGAGGCCGGGGTCCTCACAGTCTACCCGGAATGTAACCATCTGGGAGCGTTACCCAGTTTCGCTTACAAGGTGTGAACCCTGCAGGGGCACCAACCCCCTGAGACAACAAGCAAATTTGCAAAGACCAAGACTGGATGCAGATCGAAAGAAAAAAAAAAAAAAAAAGGGAAAAAAAGGGCTTGACATGATTCTACGAGCGCAAGCAAGAAGAAAGGCAGTTGTGCCACGGCGTGACTGAGTATCTCATTCTACCATGCCGATGACAAGCGGCAGATGCTCTCTCTCTCTCTCTCTCGCGCGCGCGCGCGCGTTGCGATGAGAATTTGATTACCATTTCGCCGTCGCTGCCTAATACCAAGGTTGCTCTCTCTCTCTCTCTCTCTCTCTCTCTCTCTCTCTCTCTCTCTCTCTCTCTCTCTCTCTCTCTCTCACACACACACACACACACACAC